ATCGAGTGCTACGCAAGTGCGTTTACGAGACGTCGTGCGTGCTTATCTGTTTCTTTCGCACGACGGCACGTTCGTTACATTCTGCCGTCGCGACGACGACGGCGGTCTTGGGCGGGTTGTCACCTCCAACCCTTTTCTTCCTCGTCAGTCGTCGACTACGCTCGCCGCAAATCCACTTTTTATTAACGACTAACGACCGGCCGCGAGAGAGTGCCCTCGTGGTTTTGTTACTAAATACCCGTAAGCCCCGCGAAGTGCCTCTTCTAAACGGGGTAGAGGAACATTACGTCCCCTCTTCCCCCCCTCCCCCCCTCCCCCGCCATCGTCTCACCCTTTAATGCGCTGGGGCAATATTTTCCTACGATACTCCTCCGAAATTCTTCGTCCAATCCGTAAAACTGCGAGCCGACGGCTTTATATCGATCCTACGGAAAGAAACGCTAAGAATTTCTCCTTGGCGTGGAAACTTGGGTAAAAATGTCGCATTGAAATCGTTGCGTACTGCATGAATCATTTACACCGAAACTTTAATACTACGGACTTTCTTTACATAAACAGGAGCTCTAACTTAAGAGTTTGCTGACCATAAAGTTTGTTACCTGATTGAATACGGTAACAAGTCACGATGCGTTGCGTTATACGACTCTAGCTTTGTATTCTTAGTTTCAAGCTGTATTTATAATATTAATATGATTAAGGATGACTTTACGTATATAATATTTGACTATAATATTAGCAAAAAATATCAGTCGAACAGTCAGCCAAAATAAACTAATTGAGTAATGTCAGTCAAGATTATTTAAAAAATTTTGATAACATTAGCCCGTAATTACAGCCCGAAACAAACTACAACAAACAAAACAACAAATAATTTGACTTATAATGGTTTTATAAAATGCTGTAAAATGGACTATATTTGCTGCAATTTTAGGTCAATAATTTTTAAACGAATAAGTGGATCTAAATAAATTTTTGTTCGAATATTTATAATTGTTTTTAGTATATGTATAAAAAAATTTGATTAAATTCTTAATGTTACTTTATCATCAAATTTGCAAATAAGTAGGTTTTATTATAAAACGTAACTTTACGTAAGAATGAGGATAAATTAAAAAATTAAATAACTTTTAAATTAATAAAGAATTATGTTTAAATTTTATATAAATACTTATACATAAAAATAGAACGATCTAAAATGAAAATTATATATTTTTAGTACTGTTTTTCGATCACACGCAGCATTGGCTAAAAATATTAGTCACTTATATTTTTTTCATTTATTTGGAATTTTTTTATTTATATCGTTACCTGGTGGTTACTCAAATTATACATAACTTTAAAGGGTTTTTCGAAACAAAGGATAATTTACAGCAAATGTGACAAATAAATTTTTGAGTTAAAAATAATGAGCTTTAAATATTCTTTTTAAGATTTCCGCCGTTAATGGAATTCCTTCATTGATCGACATATGGAACGTTTATAAATGTATTGCATAATCTTTTACCCAAAACGCGTGACATAAATAGCTGGAAAATGGGACCGTTTGAAAAAGTGAACGATTTTCGAATACATTGGCACGTGGAAATTCCGCGAAAGGCGCCGCCGCGACAAGATCCATTTCGAGAACGCGTAAGTTCTGTTTCTCGTGTGAGATCGATCCCATTCCTCGTGAATGAGAATATTTGGTCGAGA